TCTCACTCTCTCTCACTCGCTCTCTTCTCTCTCTTTCTCTCTCTCTCACTCGCTCTCTGTCTCTCTCTCTCACTCTCTCTCTCTCTCTCTCTTTCTCTCTCTCTCTGTCTCACTCTCTCCTCTCACTCTCTCTCTTCTCTCTCTCTCTCTCCCACTCTCTCCTCTCACTCTCTCTCTTTCTCTCTCTCTCTCTCTCTCTCTCCTCTCACTCTCTCTCTCTCTCTCTCTCTCACTCTCTTCTCTCACTCTCTCTCTTTCTCTCTCTCTCACTTCTCGCTCTTTCACTCTCTCTCTGTCTCTCTCTCTCTTTCTCTCTCTCTCTGTCTCTCTCTCTCTCTTTCTCTCTCTCTCTGTCTCACTCTCTCCTCTCACTCTCTCTCTTTCTCTCTCTCTCTCCCACTCTCTCCTCTCACTCTCTCTCTTTCTCTCTCTCTCCTCTCACTCTCTCTCTCTCTCTCTCTCACTCTCTTCTCTCACTCTCTCTCTTTCTCTCTCTCTCACTTTCTCGCTCTTTCACTCTCTCTCTGTCTCTCTCTCTCTCTTTCTCTCTCTCTCTGTCTCTCTCTCACTCTCTCTCTCTCTCTCTCTTTCTCTCTCTCTCACTCGCTCTCTTTCTCTCTCTCACTCACTTTCTCGCTCTTTCTCTCTGTCTCTCTCTCTCACTCACTCTCTCGCTCGCCCGCTCACTCTCTCTGTCTCTCTCTCTCTCTCTCTTCCTCTCAGTCGTCGTATCAAACAGTACAGAGGCTGGCTGCTTGATCGCCTGCTGCTAAAGTTACATAGTGCTGAAAACAGGCGAGCGGGGCGCTCTGTGGACACGAGAGAGAGACGCCATCCTCCCTGTTGGAGGTTATTGTTCTTTAAGATCGACTTTAAAAGATTCTTTAAACACATTCAGTGTCAGTTTGACTCCCCTGATAGAGAAGTCCTTCTTCAGAAACCAGGAACACTTTCCCTCGTTTAGGTAACGTTACAGACTTCACAGGAGTCACTCGTCTCGGGGAGGTGACCAGCTGAGTCTGCAGAGCCGGCGCCCCGCTTAAAGGGTTAAATACTCTGACCCGTCCAGAGTCGCTCAGAGAAACCACAGAATCCTCCAGAACTCCCAGAACCAGCAAGCCGCCATCACTGCTGCTGAGGAGGTCGGAGCCGTCCAGACGCCACGCCTTCACCTGAGACAACAACAACAACAACAACAACAACAACAACAACAACAACACAAACACACAAGAGTCAGGAATGCAAACCTCTGCGGATCAGCAGGTTACATTTTATCCAATCACAGGCTCTACGTGGCGGCAGGAAGTAGTCACACCTGTTTGTTGGTGTAAACAAACATCAGCTGTTTGGAAACGTGGAGGTGTGATGTCGAAGGGGCGGAGTCAACAGGCATCGCCTCCTGGATGCAGAGCAGCTGTTTGCCACTCGTTAGGCTCCACCTCCTCAGAGAGCCGTCAGCGGCCAATGAGAGGCAGTGGGCGGAGCTTTCGAGCACTTTGACAGACAAAACTGCGCCTAAATAAAACACGTTATTAATCAATTATTATTATCTTTCATTTATAAATAATATGTTTTGATCCTTCAGAATAACCTGTGTGTCCGATCAGGGAGTAGACGAGCTGTTGGTCAGCGAGGCTCCACACCGCTATCACGCCATCGTCTGAACCTGTGACCAGAAGCTCCGCCTCCACACTGAGGTCCAGACAGAGAACACCTGAAGACACAAGAACAGGTGACACGCCTCACACACACACACACACACTCAACAGGATCAGAGAGTGAGATCTACTGACCTCCCTGAAGTCCAGTCAGAGTGTGCTGCAGCGCCCCCCCTGGCTGCTGCAGGAAGCTGCACTTAGGGATGAGGATCGGCTCCGGACACGTTAGTAACCACTCTTCACATTGGCTGCAGAGTCGGCCAATCACAGAGGGGAAAGGCTTGGCCAAGGAGCAGAGTCTGGCTAAGAGCTCGGTGTAGAACAGAGACATATCTGAAAGCAAATATGTGAGACGAGTTTCACCGTTTCAAACAAAGCTTCAGAGACAACAACAACACTCACATCGTCGTCATGGTAACGGCCACTCTTTTTTTTAAAGATGATAAAATCTGTTTCGCTGACACAGACTTACTGACCCATGTGACCCTCCAGGAAGTCCAGACTGGGTTTGATGAGGACCAGAGTGTCCCGAATCAGTCTGGTCTCAGTGCAGTCCATGTACTGGGAGCACTGGTCCAGGTCCTGGATCACACTGGACACCCCGCACACCCTGCTCTTGCAGAACAGCCACTCTGCACTGCCTGAAAAAAAACACACAACATTTACAACACAAAAGTTGAGAGCAGTTATTGGACTTGAGAAGGTAGGCGGTTGTACCTAAAAAGCCTCTGCATGTTTCTAATAAGCTCCACAAGCAGAGATTAGAATTTAGACTGCAGTACCCATTTTAAACACTAGGGGTCAGAGATACATACTGCTGCTTTAATGATTTCAGTTTTCATTTCCTGTCTGTCACATACCTCCAGATGTGTTGACTGTGATTAACCCAATTTTATTGTTTTCCTTGTCAGTTTAAAATATTTTACATTTATTACTTTTTTTCTACTTTAAATAAATTTTATCAGATTTATCATCTCACCTATTACTACTTGTCGTAGTTCGTCCCACAGGCCGGCGTGCAGCAGGTGATACGGCAGCTCCTGGAGCTTCCTGACGTTAGCCAATTCAGGACCGAACCACAGTGGCTGGGGTGGGACCTGTGACACCAGACGGCCAATCAAAAAGTCTCCTTGGACAGACAGAAAATCACTGCCAATGACGGGTAACAGTGAAGTAAAGTCTTTCTCAAGTGAAAGTACTAAAAAATGAGCTTTGAAGTATACTATTAGTGTGGTACGACAATGAGTCACCAAGTGGTTAATCTCCTGGAGAGCAGGAATATCCTTAGTAAAAAACAAACATGGACACTGACCTGTATTTTGCACCTTTTGCACCTTTTGTGTTGTTTTTTTTGTTATTTTGTTTATATTTAAGATTTTATTTTTTATATTGTAATAGCTTCTTATTCTGTATTATTTAAGTTGTTGCTAGTTCTGCTTTATTTCCTTGTTAATTGTTTAGCACCAATACACCAAGTCAGATTCCTTAATAAACCCTGATTCTGATTCTGATTCTGTGTTAATGGTTAAGCAGACTGGTCTCCTGCTGGTTTCCATCAGAGGATCAGGTCGTACCTTTCTGTCGGAGAGGAGCAGTGACAGACCAGGCAGAGCCACCGGCTTCAGTTTCCCCGACCACCGACCCAGGAAGTACTCTGCCAGGACCCTCAGGCTCCGCCCCCTTCGCTCTGATGTCAGATACCGAGCTGAAACCACCTCGCAGAGACGCCTGCACACACTCATGTTACTCAGACATCTGACCTCCGAGCTGACAGTCAATGTTCATGTTTTTGTTTACCTATTGTTGACGGCGATGGTGGCGACTCCGTTGGTCCAGCGCTCCTCCAGCTGATCCTCGAGGTCCCATCTTAGTCGAGCCCAGAGGAGGGGGGGCAGCCGGATCAATGAGGGTGTCGGAGGGAAGGAGTGACTGTACACCTCAGTGATGACATCATCGTCCAGGGACATGACATCACGCAGTTCAGCCTCCAGTAGACCCTCCCTGAAGAGACGAAACCTCAATTTGTGTTTTTCGACTTCAGAAAATGTTTTTTAAGATTTGAAGGATTAATATTGTTACAATTGTCATACTGACATAAAAGTTCTGGTTTAACAACAAATAACTAAACAATGCAAACTCTGATAATGCTCTTCCCGTTGGTTGGTGCTGGAGCCGATCTCAACTGTCATTGGTCGAGAGGCGGGGTTACACCCTGGACTGGTCACCAGCCAATCACAGAGCTGACATATGGAGACAGACAACCAGCCACCTCCTCACAGAGAGACTCCCGTCAGACGGGGATTCAAACCAGGAACCTCCTCACAGAGAGACTCCTGACAGACGGGGATTCAAACCAGGAACCTCCACACAGAGAGACTCCCGTCACACGGGGATTCAAACCAGGAACCTCCTCACAGAGAGACTCCCGTCAGACGGGTATTCAAACCAGGAACCTCCTCACAGAGAGACTCCTGTCAGACGGGGATTCAAACCAGGAACCTCCTCACAGAGAGACTCCCGTCAGACGGGGATTCAAACCAGGAACCTCCACACAGAGAGACTCCCGACAGACAGGGATTCAAACCTCCTCACAGAGAGACTCCCGACAGACGGGGATTCAAACCTCCTCACAGAGAGACTCCCGTCAGACGGGGATTCAAACCAGGAACCTCCTCACAGAGAGACTCCCGTCAGACGGGGATTCAAACCAGGAACCTCCACACAGAGAGACTCCCGTCAGACGGGGATTCAAACCAGGAACCTCCTCACAGAGAGACTCCCGTCAGACGGGGATTCAAACCAGGAACCTCCTCACAGAGAGACTCCCGTCAGACGGGGATTCAAACCAGGAACCTCCTCACAGAGAGACTCCCGTCAGACGGGGATTCAAACCTCCTCACAGAGAGACTCCCGTCAGACGGGGATTCAAACCAGGAACCTCCTCACAGAGAGACTCCCGACAGACGGGGATTCAAACCTCCTCACAGAGAGACTCCCGTCAGACGGGGATTCAAACCAGGAACCTCCTCACAGAGAGACTCCCGTCAGACGGGGATTCAAACCAGGAACCTCCTCACAGAGAGACTCCCGACAGACGGGGATTCAAACCTCCTCACAGAGAGACTCCCGTCAGACGGGGATTCAAACCAGAACCTCCTCACAGAGAGACTCCCGTCAGACGGGGATTCAAACCAGGAACCTCCTCACAGAGAGACTCCCGTCAGACGGGGATTCAAACCAGGAACCTCCTCACAGAGAGACTCCCGACAGACGGGATTCAAACCTCCTCACAGAGAGACTCCCGTCAGACGGGGATTCAAACCAGGAACCTCCTCACAGAGAGACTCCCGTCAGACGGGGATTCAAACCTCCTCACAGAGAGACTCCCGTCAGACGGGGATTCAAACCAGGAACCTCCTCACAGAGAGACTCCCGTCAGACGGGGATTCAAACCAGGAACCTCCTCACAGAGAGACTCCCGTCAGACGGGGATTCAAACCAGGAACCTCCTCACAGAGAGACTCCCGTCAGACGGGGATTCAAACCAGGAACCTCCACACAGACAGACTCCCGTCAGATGTGGATTCAAACCAGGAACCTCCACACAGAGAGACTCCCGACAGATGGGGATTCAAACCAGGAACCTCCTCACAGAGAGACTCCCGTCAGACGGGAATTCAAACCAGGAACCTCCTCACAGAGAGACTCCTGAAGGACGGGGATTCAAACCAGGAACCTCCTCACAGAGAGACTCCTGTCAGACGGGGATTCAAACCAGGAACCTCCACACAGACAGACTCCTGTCAGATGGGGATTCAAACCAGGAACCTCCTCACAGAGAGACTCCTGTCAGACGGGAATACAAACCAGGAACCTCCTCACAGAGAGACTCCCGACAGACGGGGATTCAAACCAGGAACCTCCACACAGACCCAAACTGTACCCAGTTTAAAAATACTGCAGTACCCCTTTAAGATACCGATTCCATGCCCCTTACCTTGCGAGAGTGATGTATCCTAAGGCTCCACCCACCAGTTCTTTCCCGTGTTTGTCCTCAAGCATCAGCAGAAGCTGTGACATCATTTCCTGTGTGCTCGCTCCCAGGTGTGTGTGTGTGAGCGGGGTGAAGGACGTCCAGCGTTTGGCCGCGGACAGAATCAGTTTGAGGTGCAGCGGACAGCCGGTGGCATCGAAGCTGTGCAGCGCGGCGTCACTCTGCTCGGGGGTCAGGGTTCGCCGAGAGGCTCGCAGGTACGACTCCATCACCTGTTTCCCCTCGACGTGAGACAAACGCTCCACCGCGAAGAAACTCTCCAAAGTCTGCAGCTTCAGCCGCATGTTGGCGAACACCTCGCTGTTGGTTTCCATGGAGACCACCAGGTGGATGTTGGGCGGGAGGTCGGCGGGGAGCCAGTAAAGTTTGTGGGCGTGATGTTGGTCTGACAGCTGATCCAGAGCGTCCAGGACGACCAGCATCGTGTTCCCCCGCCGTGAGACATCAGCGAGGACGTTTCTGAAGAACCGCGACAAGTCCAGGTGAGCGCTGGCCGTCGGCGGGGAGGGAGGCGGAGCCAAACCACACGCCAAGCAGATCTGGAGGCAGACGCTGCGGAGGACGTGGTCGATGTCCGGTCTCTGAGGATGGTGAGCTGAGAGCATCCTGTTCACCACCACCGCCCCGCCCTCCAGGACGCCACGCATCTCCTGCACCAGTTTGCACAGCAGCGCCGTCGTCCCCATCCCGGCGGCGCCGTGCACCACCAGCGGGCCATGGGGGACGTTGGTCCTCTCCCACATGGCGAGGCAGAGTTTACCCAGAAGGCCCTCCCTGCCACGGAGACCTCCGCACAGCTCGCTGGTCACGGCAGCGTGACGCCCGAACTCCTCGATCAACCAATCCGGGACTTCCTCCTTCTTGTCCGTGATCTTTCCCCAAACCTTCCTCCTCCTCCCGTCCACCAACGTCTCCACCGCCGCTCCGACCCTCGCCTTCATCTGAGAAACGAACTGCTCGCAGACGGCGTCCAGGTACTGAGCATGCTCCTTGCGTTTGGGGTCGACGCCTCCTTTGCTGAGCTCCACGCAGTGCAGGTTCAGGATCTTCTGCGACGAGGCGTAGAGGCGGGCCTTCAGGGCACCGAGGAGTCCCTGAGCTTCCGCGTCCAGCAGCCCGTCGGCGTTCAGGTCCATGTACTTGGCAAGACGTTTGGGGCCGTCCCTCGCTCTCTGGCGAGGAATCTCTCGGACAAAGAGCAAAGCGGACTGATCGCCGGCGTCCTGGAACAAACCGTGCTCGAACTCTCGATCTGTGACTGCGGACCAGAAGAGGAAGACGCTCAGATTTCTAAGACTTTTAAGAAACAAAGACAAACCGTGTGATCGTCTCTGACCTGATGTGTAGAAGTTCTGTTTCTGCTCGGCTGTGATGTCACCGGCTGACTCTGCGGCGGCGGCGGCCGAGCGTAGGAGCCGCAACAGTTGATTCTCTGTGAAACGCCACGAGAGGACATCTTTGTCCCGCCGTGGCCCGCTCTCAGGTCTGAGGTCACCGAAGTAGGGGAAGTGAGCCGCGATCGGCTGGAGGACGTAGGCGGGCGGACGGCGTTGTCGTCCTTTAAGAACCACCGGCTCAGCTGCGTGATGCCTTCAGGGTCTTTGGAGAGTTTGGACAACAGAGCTTCAAAGTGTTTCTCTGGGATGAGGCGAGGGAGAGCTCGGTGGCCGTACCGGTTCCCCAGCAGAGCCTTGAGAGCCCGACGCAGGGAAATAAAGAGAAGAAGAAGAAGAAGAAGAAGAAGAGTGAGTCTGTGCTTCCATGTTTACCAAAGGGGCAGATATTATAAGATTAGTCTTCTTTCTGCTCCTTTTCATTCAAAATTTTAGATTTTATGTTTGTTTGTTTTTCTTAACTTTATTGTTTGTTTGAATGAAATAAAATGTACAAATAAAAAAGCAATATAAACAAATACAAATAAAAGGGGCGGAGTTATCTTCATATAACGTTTCACAAATTTCAGACTCACGATGAAGGCGGGTCCGGCTGAGATCCTCTGACAGTTCTGGATCTCCTGCAGAAAGACCTCGCAGGCCTCGTGGTCTCCAGACGAGACGCTCCGGATCCCCCATCGCAGATCCACCACCTAAAACAGGAAGTGACCTCACTCGTCAATGAGGAGGTGTTTACGCACTCAAAGGTTTATGTTTAAAAAAAGGTTGACGCCATAAAGACGATCGCTCTGCCCCGTTTTCCTTTTATCTGGCTAAGTCGACCCCGTGTTAGAAAGGTGACCTCGTCGTCTGGAAGCTGTCAGAATATCTACACACCTTTAAAGGTTTAACATGCCACATTTTAAACTTTAAATATATCGCTGAGTAACGTCTTTCTAATAAACAAGTGAAGTCAACCCTGCCACCACCATGTGGGGGGGAAATGACAGACAGCCCCGCCCACTCAGGGACGCTGTAAGTAAAGGCGTGATGGCATTTTGTTTCACGGAGCATGAACAAAGTTTTTAGAAAATATTTTCTTTGGCTTAAAAAGTCAAAGATGAGATGAACATCGCTGCTCTCCGTCTCACAGACACTTGGGGGTGAAGTAGGAAGAGAGGGGCGGGGCATGTGTGGGAGGGGGAACCGAGGGATGAAGGAGGTGTGTCTAAAGATGGCTTAAAGGAGGAACACTGAGGGAGGGGCGGTGCGCTGAAGGGACGCCGTTGTTTTGGTTTTGAGCTAATGTGCGACATCTACTGTGAAAGACGTGTACTGTAGTGATGTGAAAAGCAGTTCTTTTCAGTGTACTGAATCAGTAGAATCAGTTCAGTAAAGTGATTCGTTCAAATGATTCGTTCACCGAATCGTTCAGTACTTCTCTGCAGCTCTGTCTGTGAATCAGAATTTAATAAACTGAAACACGGCCGAACGTTTAGTTCTGCTTGTTGGTGGTGAATACTAAACCAATGAGCTGAGAATTTAGTTGGATAAAGCCACAGTTTGCAAACTGAAAGCTGCTAAAACAATCACATTTATTTTCCCCGACCGTTCTGTTCAGAACGTTCAGTTACACAAATCACTCACTGACTGTCTGACTGAGAGGAAGAGAGAGAGGAGGAGCTCTCGTTCAGTTCGTTCACTGAACGTACTGAGAGGGAGAGAGAGACTCAGAGCCTATTGTTTTTTATCTTTTGAGTTTTTTTTAATTGCACTGTAATTTATGTTTCTCACTTTTATTTTTTATTGTTTTCATTTTATCTAATTAAAAATAATTAATAACCTAATATTTATTTGCGTACATCTTTTATTTGCGTAGTGAAACCTAAAATATGAAAAACGGGTGGTGAAAGTGATTGTGTGTACTGATTCTGAACGGGAGCTCTGAGTCTCTCTCTCCCTCTCAGTTTGTTCAGTGATTCACGTCGGAGCTCTCGTTCAGTTCGTTCACTGAACGTACTGTGAACGGGAGCTTTGAGACACGAGACGGAAGAGAGGAGAGCGCAACTGAAATTGAGAAATGAACGACTCTTTTTAGTAAGTGATTCAGTTCGTTCACCCAGATGATTCATTCGTTTTGAACGAATCGTTCATGACCGACACATCACTAGTGTACTGCACCTTTAAGAACTGCATCCTAAACTTCACTGTTTCTGCGTTATAACATGTTTTAGAAAGAAACCAATGTGTTAGAAATAAATAAAATAACTGACCTCAAACACCAGCCCCAGGCCGCGACAGAAAGTAAGGACTTCTGGGTAAGCTTTCTCCAGCAGGGCTTTCCTCTCGCTGCTCATATCTGACCAGAGAGCAGAGAGACGAGTCAGACTTACAGAAGTAAAGTTTTGGTTATATTCTATATTTCAGATCGCAGTGAGCGTTTTAAGATAAAGGTGATAATCCCAGAACAGTGACGCTCTAAACCTCAGAAGATATACTCGGCCTGTTTCTGAAAAAAACATTTTAGATCCTTACTTTATGTCAAAATAAAAGCTTGCAGCAAGTAAGTACTCTCAGCTCAAGACAGTACGTTTCAAAATAAAAGCATGACAATTTGTATTTTTTAAATGTGAACTAATGTTGATTAAAAATGTGTTTAATTGTGATTTGGTTTTTTTTAACGGTAAAAAAATTCTATTTCCTATTTTGTGTATTTACACATTTGTATGGATCAGTCCGTTAACAGCGTTTGAATCTGACCTGTGAATGTGGAGCTGATGAACACTCGGATCATGTTGGAGCTGCTCCTCGTCTTCTGAGCTCCGTCCGTCCGTCCTCTCAGGACGTCCTGCAGGCTGATGCCTCCTCCTGCTGCGGGATGCTCCTCCATCATCCTCCTCTACACTCGTCTGTTGCTCACTCTCTCATCTGCTTTTTCAATACGCTGCCCGTTGGTTTCCTCAGAGAGTTTCCTCCAAGACAACCGGTTCTCCCACATGACCTGCTCCTCCACCTGTGGTACACCTGTCCTCTTCCTGCTCCTCTACATATCTGATCAGACATTAAGGAAACATGCTATGTTGAAGTGCTGGCTTCTCTGACAACAATGCAGCAGCCAGTATGTCCTCCTTCTAACTTTAGATTCTGCTCCTGAATGCTCTGGATTTGTTTGGACCAGAGAAGGTAGGCGCTTTTAAGACCCCCCCCCCCCACACGGAGGGGCATCCACTCTAGAGAGGGGGAGGGGGGGGAGACAGCTCTCTATGATGTTTAGAATTTAGACTGCAGTACCCATTTTAAACACTAGGGGTCAGAGTTACATACTGCTCCTTTAAACATTTTCACCAACTAAAGAGTAAACAAACAAAGCTGGATTAAAAATTTAAATCAAAAAGTCTGAACATTAGCCAGTCATGCTCAGAGCTTCTTTATTTTATTTTGAAAAGCTGGTATTGCAGCTTTCTCTTCCTCCTTATTTCTATGCTAAGCCGGTTTAAACACCTTCCTGTGTAGTCTTCAAACTCTAAGATCACCTGCTGACTGTTGGCTGAGAGGATTTGAGAAACGATTGTGAAATGAATGAGCGCTTTAGTATTTTTACAAACACTATACCTGCTCAGCGTTGGGACTCACCTGAGTGTTTACTAAGCGGGGCCTCTGGGAGTGCGGGGCCCCCCGGGGGGCCGTCACTCACAGCTGCAGCTCGAAGCTAATTACACTGAAGACGAGGACGAGGATGATGAAAACGAGGATAACAAAACGACCGAGGAGCAGAGAGACATCTGCTCACGACCGAGGACACAAACACAAACACAAACACGAGTCGGGTTCAGAGGATTTAAGACTTCTGAGAAATACAAAACAAACAGTAAATAAGATAACGTTAGTTTGACTTCACAAAGGAAGACGCTGTCACGCTGTCACCACATCAGTTGGGATTTTAAAATGATTAAAGAATAATATGTAGTGGTGCCTGAAGAAGAGGGTTTACTCCTGGATCAACACGGGGTACCAGACTTTACCTCTCAAGTCCTCGCCCGCATGTAGGCCTTTATTTATGTTTTGCGCGCGTCACCTTTTCTGTACATTTTGACCTTTCAGCGTCTTAGGTAACTGAAAACTCTGTTTTACTAAAGGGGCCGTCTGTTCCTGCAGGGGGCGCTGGAGTCCCATCGATGACGTCCCCCGTCTGTCCCTGCAGGGGGCGCTGGAGTCCCATTGATGACGTCCCCCGTCTGTTCCTGCAGGGGGCGCTGGAGTCCCATCGATGGCGTCCCCCGTCTGTTCCTGCAGGGGGCGCTGGAGTCCCATTGATGACGTCCCCCGTCTGTTCCTGCAGGGGGCGCTGGAGTCCCATTGATGACGTCCCCCGTCTGTTCCTGCAGGGGGCGCTGGAGTCCCATCGATGGTGTCCCCCGTCTGTTCCTGCAGGGGGCGCTGGAGTCCCATTGATGACGTCCCCCGTCTGTTCCTGCAGGGGGCGCTGGAGTCCCATCGATGGCGTCCCCTGTCTGTTCCTGCAGGGGGCGCTGGAGTCCCATCGATGGCTTCCCTCGTCTGTTCCTGCAGGGGGCGCTGGAGTCCCATCGATGGCGGTCTCCATGCTGGAAATGCTGTCTCAGTCTAACTTTGAGTCAACCTAACGACAGGCTGAGAGCTGGAGCTGAGGCGGGTTTTAAACCTCCTGACAAACCGTTACACCGCGCCCACCTGTCAATCAGGTCAGCTACACGCCTTATTGTGAATAACTCTTATCCTTCATCAAATCAAAACTGATGAGTCATCAAAACATTCACCCCCCGTACAGTGTGTGTCCATCCAGACATGAGCTAATCACACCTATTTGGTTTTTTGAACCAGGCTGTAAACATGTTCATCTCTGCTGTAAAAACAGGCTTTTTAGAATGGGTGTGTATGTGACTTCCTGTGCTTCTGCAGCCAGCCTCTAGTGGACACTCCAGGAACTGCAGGATTTTTTCACCTGAGCACCAGCTTCATTTTTCAAAACAGGAGGTTTCTGCTTGGTGCTAACGTTTCTAACTGGACTTTTAACATGCTCAAGCGTTTTTGGGTTTTCATGTGGATGAAGATGTTTTTGAGAACTGAGTGTGTAGACGGGATTCTTTTTTAAGAGGAAGTTGGGAAGCAAATACATTTCTGCTGCTAAAGCGAGAGGTTACTGTTTGTAGATGTTTCTGATATCTCCCTGAGGTGTTTTCTAATCTCAAACCGCAGAAGAAGAGTTGTTTTGTTGTTTCTTCTTCTCTTTAAACCTTCAGGCTGTTTTTCTTTAGTTGTTGTCCTGCAGCTCTCAGAGGACGTTACATCAGAGACCTCCTCTCTGCTCACCTCACTCGTTCTCCCATCAGTCTGCATGAAACCTCCTCGCTCACCGCCGCCTGCTTCACTAACTACGGCCAGAACGTTTTTATTAAACGAGCCCTGACCTTTCCTGCTGATGATCCCCATAATGCTGGATGCCCAAACTCCAGGGGGCGGGGCCTGTTGTTGTCATTAAGATTCTGAATCACAGCAAATTTTTACTTTTGACCCTGCTCCTTTTCTTCTGAACACTGTGCTGCTTCTGTGTCCTCTCTCTCCTCCTCCTCCTCCTCCTCTCTCTCCTCCTCCTCCCTCTCCTCCTCTCCTCCCTCTCCTCCTCCCTCTCCTCCTCCCCTCCTCCTCTCTCTCCTCCTCCTCCTCTCCCTCTCCTCCTCCCCTCTCCTCCTCCCCTCTCCTCCTCTCCTTCCTCTCTCCTCCTCCTCCTCTCCTCGCTCCTCCTCCTCTCCCTCCCCTCTCTCTCCTCCTCTTCCTCCTCCTCTCTCCTCCTCTTCCTCCTCTCCCCTCCTCCTCCTCTCCCTCCTCCCTCTCCTCCTCCTCTCTCTCTCCCCTCTCCTCCTCTCTTTCTCCTCCTCCCTCTCCTCCTCCTCTTCCTCCTCCCTCTCCTCCTCCTCTCTCTCCTCCTCCTCCTCTCCTCCCTCCCTCCTCCCTCTCCTCCCCCCTCTCCTCCTCTCCCTCCTCCCTCTCCTCCTCCCTCTCCTCTCCTCCCCTCTCCTCCTCTCTCTCCTCCTCCTCCTCTCCCTCTCCTCCTCCCCCCTCTCCTCCTCCCTCTCCTCCTCCTCCTCTCCTCGCTCCTCCTCCTCTCCCTCCCCTCTCTCTCCTCCTCTTCCTCCTCCTCTCTCCTCCTCTTCCTCCTCTCCCCTCCTCCTCCTCTCCCTCCTCCCTCTCTCCTCCTCTCTCTCCTCCCCTCTCCTCCTCTTTCCTCCTCCTCCCTCTCCTCCTCCTCTTCCTCCTCCCTCTCCTCCTCCTCTCTCTCCTCCTCTTCCTCCTCTCCCTCTCCTCCTCCTCTCTCTCCTCCTCTTCCTCTCTCTCCTCTCCTCCTCCTCTCTCTCCTCCTCTTCCTCCTCTCCTCGCCTCCTCCTCTCTCTCCTCCTCCTCTCTCTCCTCCTCTCCCCTCTCTCTCCTCCTCCTATCTCTCCTCCTCTCCCTCCTCCTCCTCCCTCTCCTCTCCCTCCTCCTCTTCCTCCTCCTCCCTCTCCTCGCTCCTCCTCTCCTCCCCTCTCTCTCCTCCTCTTCCTCCACTCCCTCTCTCCTCCTCCTCCCCTCTCCTCCTCTCCCCCCTCTTCCTCCTCCTCTCTCCTCCTCTTCCTCCACTCCCTCTCTCCTCCTCTCTCCTCCTCTTCCTCCTCTCCCTCTCCTCCTCCTCTCTCTCCTCCTCTTCCTCCTCTCCCTCGCTCCTCCTCTCTCTCCTCCTCCTCTCTCTCCTCCCTCTCCTCTCCCCTCTCCTCCTCCCTGTCCTCCTCCTCCCTCTCCTCGCTCCTCCTCTCCTTCCCCTCTCTCTCCTCCTTTCCCTCCTCTCTTCTCCTCCTCCCCTCTCCTCCTCTCCCTCCTCTCTCCTCCCCCTCTCCTCCTCTCTCCCTCTCCTCGCTCCTCCTCCTCTCCCTCCCCCTCTTCCTCCTCCTCTCTCCTCCTCTCCCTCTCCTCCTCCCTCGCCCCTCTCTCTTCCTCCACTCCCTCTCTCCTCCTCTCTCTCCTCTTCCTTCACTCCCTCTCTCCTCCTCTTCCTCCTCCTCCCTCTCCTCTTCCTTCACTCCCTCTCTCCCCCTCTTCCTCCTCCTCCCTCTCCTCTTCCTCCACTCCCTCTCTCCTCTTCCTCCACTCCCTCTCTCCTCTTCCCTCTCCTCCTCCCTCTCCTCCTCCTCCTCCTCCTCCTCTCCCTCTCTCCTCCTCCTCTCTGTGTTCATATCCGTCAGGTTTTTGTTTATTATTTTAAGGTCACCTCGATCGACCACGTTTCCTTTACACATCACACACAGCACGTCACCTCAAATCTTTTATTTACTGCATATTTTTGACTGTGTTTTGAAACATTTTACAGTTTTTTTTTTCTAGAAAACTTCAGTCCCTTGTTCTCTCTCGCTCTCTTCTCGTGTGTGGGGGGGGGCGGATCCGGCTGCTGCGATTGGTCAGCAGGGACACGGCGTGCTGGTCTGCTGCTCCACCATTAGTCCTTTGCTCAGGAGGAACGCTTCCTGCTTCGGCTCACGCCCGAGGAACTTCCTGAGCATCTCGGAGGCGTCCTCTGAGCCGCCGGGCCGCAGGATGAACCTCCTGTAATCCATGCCGACCTGGAGGACCAATCAGGGGACAGCGTGGATTGAAGGATTTGAACAGAAAACATTTAGAATCAGTGTCGTAAACGTTCATGAGTCTGGTTTCTGACCTTTGGGTTCATGATTCCCTCCAGTTTGAAGCGAGCGAAGAACATGTCCATGGAGAACACCTCGCTCCACAGGTAACCGTAATACTGAGCGTCATAACCGCCCGCCAGGTGCCCGAAGGTCGCCGGCATGTTGGTCCCTGCGGGGGAGAGAGGTCGGAGGTCAGAGGATGCCTAGGCTGTATTCTTTGTACTATACTTTACTGGAAACGCGTTTAAACGGGTGTTTTTTTACGTTACACTTAGTGATGATGTCATGATTTGAAAAGGTACCTGGCGACGCCGGGATTCCCAGGATTTCCTGACAGAGGCGTCCGTACTCCTCTGCCGCGTCAAGCCCGTTCCTGGTGTGCAGAGCCTGATCCACTTTAGCCAGCACGATCTGCCTCAGGTTAAACAGGCCTGATGGGAGAGATGCACGGTTACCATAGCAACAGCAGAAAACAAGAGAACAAGAAGTCCCGCCCCCCTGTGCGCTACTCACCGGTGTTGGCGAGGCGGGACTTGATGAGTTTGTCGAGCAGCTCGTCGGGGATGGCTTTGTCGGTCTTGTAGTGTTTGGACATTCTCAGCAGAGGCTCGCGCTCCCACACCCAGTTCTCCAACATCTGAGACGGCGCCTCCACAAAGTCCCGCTCCACGTGAGTCCCACTGAACATGGCGTAGTCCGCCTGCAAGCACAGCGACACTCAGAGCACGCCACTTCCTGTTTACACAGTCGACTTTCTCCTCCTCTAACCTTTGAATGAGATTTTATACAGTGACCCGTCAGGTCACTCCACAAACAGGAAGCCACAGCGGTGTCTTCAGGGTGATGGAACTGATCCATATCAAATCGTATGGTATTCTGACGAGAGTATAAAATAATCCATAACACTGCTCCTCCACCGCTGAAGAGCTTTGTGAAACTTCACTACGAGCTTCAAGGTCTGTCTCAAGCAGAGATTTATAGCATCCCTAAACGTGGCTGTGCTTTTTATTTTAACCCTCAGGCATCAGTTTCATTTCCGACCCTCTGAAGTCACTAAGGACAAAAATGTCCACTTCTAAAACAACTGATATAAAAATAGAACATATTGATATTTTTTAGACTTTTTTTGCATAAATCTCTTAAACAACTCCAGCCCTGCTCAAAAATATCAAATATTGAATAATTATCAGGAATTTTACCCTTTAAATGACAGAATCATATAATAAAACTGTCATTGAAAGGGTTAAATTCCAGATAATTATTCAGTGTTTGATATTTTGGAGCAGGGCTGGAGTTGTTTAAGAGATTTATGCAAAAAAAAAGTAGAAGAAATATCAATCTGTTCTATTTTTATAGCAGTTTTTTGTAAATTGGACATTTTTGCCCACCAATGTCCAAACAGGGAACTACATTTGAAATCTGATGCTACACAAAAACTAACAATGCATCAAAGTCAATATTTTGGATAATCTTTGACATATCCAAGACTGATTTAAAAAAAATCCCCCAGCCACCAAATATTTGTTATTTGGAAAATAACTCATTTTTATGTGTGTCCATAGTGATGCAAGAGGGTTAAAGCCGTTAAAGAACAGAATAATCTCCAAACTCATCGGAAACTTTGCACAAATCTCCACATTTAAGTAAATAAAAAAGATTTTAAGGAACCAGACAACCTCTCAACAGCTCAGGAAAAACGTGTACGTAATGTTTTCATATCTGTATAATGTTCCCAGTTCATCTTCTCTCTTATGAAATGTGTGTGTGTGTGTGTGTGTGTGTGTGTGTGTGTGTGTGTGTGTGTGTGTGTGTGACTGGTTGATCTGTATTTTACTCTTGCCATCGTCTGCCCGGGGACAACAGATGGAAATTAGCTAGTCAGCTAAATCTGGTACAAAGGCTCTTTTCTCTTCTGAGACTGATGTTATTTTGTCCCTGATTCAAATAAACTCATTTTACTCCCATAATCCTTTGTAGCCTTTGTACATATTGCAGAGTTTTTTTTAAATCTTAATTACAGAGTTTACACCAATGAGCCTTACATCCTCCAAAGAACAAGTGGACACGTTTACAGATCAGTCTGATGTTGTTGTGAGAGTTCATCAGCTGACCTCGGCACACAGCTGGTGCATGACGTGTCCGAACTCGTGAAAGTACGTCTCCACCTCGTCGTGCTGCAGGAGTGACGGGGCGTCAGCCGTCGGCTTGCTGAAGTTGGCCACCATGGCGGCGATAGACATCTGACGGCGTCCGTCGGGCAGCAGACAGCCGGGCTGCAGGCCGAAGCAGGCGGCGTGCCCGTACTTCCCCTCCCTGAGGACAGGAGAGAGAGGAGACTGAGAATCCTTCTTGTTTACATTCACACTGTGATGTCACTTCTCTGAGTGCTCACCTGGGGTGGAGGTCCAGGTAGAACTGGCCGACCACCTGACCGCTGCTGCGATCCTTAACGCAGTACAGAGTGACGTCTGGGTGCCACACGGCCGCTCCGCCCACAAGCTCGAAGGAAAGACCGAGCAGCTCCTGATAGATCTCCAACAGACCACGAGTCACAACCTCCATCGGAAAATACTCCTTCAACAGGTTCTGATCCACCGCATACTGCGTCTCCTCCACCTGAGGGGAGGGGGGAGGAAGAGGAGAGAGAGGAGGAGGAAGGAGGAGGAGGGGGAAGAGAAAGAGGAGGAGAGAGAGGAGGAAGAGAAAGACGAGGAGAGAGAGGAGGAGGAGGAAGAGAAAGGAGGAGGAGGAGGAGAGAGAGGAGGAGGAAGAAGAGAAAAAGGAGGAGAGAGAGGAGGAGGAGGAAGAGAAAGAGGAGAAAGAGGAGGAGGAAGAGAAAGAGGAGAAAGAGGAGGAGGAGGAGAGAGAGGAGGAGGAGGAAGAGGAAGAGAGAAAGAGGAGGAGAGAGGAGGAGGAGGAAGAGAAAGAGGAGGAGAGAGGAGGAGGAGGAGGAGGAGGAAGAGGAGGAGGAAGAGGAGGAGGAAGAGGAGAGAGAGGAGGAGGAGGAGGAGGAGGAGAGAGAGGAGGAGGAGGAAGAGGAAGAGGAGAAAGAGGAGGAGAGAGGAGGAGGAGGAAGAGAAAGAGGAGGAGAGAGAGGAGGAGGAGGAGGAAGAGGAGGAAGAGGAGGAGGAGGAGGAGGAGGAGGAGGAGGAGGGAGAGGAAGAGAAAGAGAGAGAGAGGAGGAGGAGGACACAGAAGCAACACCGTGTTCAGAAGAAAAGGATCAACAGCAAAGATTTGTTGTGTTTTCAGGATCAACAGGTCCATGTGAGGTGTGAAACTCTCACCTGTGTCATGAAGTAGCGAGTGTCCCAGGCGTGCAGCTCTCCGTTGAAAGGCAGACTTCTCGTCTCACACTCCTTCTCCTTCAGTTTGAGGATGACCGAGCGCTCTTCTTCTCCCAGAGGCTTCAGCTTACGAGCCAACTCCTCTGAAAACACAGAGTGAGAGTGAGAGAGTGTGAGGAGAGAGTTCCTCTGCAGGGACCAAACAGATGAGGTAAGGTTACCATGTTTCACTTTCAGGAGAAATCAAACACAGACTGTTACATGAAACAAGACATCTAGTGTCCATAACCATACTGCTCACATGTTTCTCTCTGCAGGTTTCAGGTGGTCCTTTATTCACTCACCCAGGAAGCTGGCCACCTTCCTCCCAGATTTGGCCATGTTCATCTCCAGGACGAAGTCAGCGTGAGTGCTGAAGCCGAGCAGAGAACATTTCTGAGCACGAAGCTCCACCAGCTCCTTCAGGATGGCCGAGTTCTCCTAAAGAGAGAGCGAGAGAGAGAGAGAGACAGACAGAGCGAGAGAGAGAGAGAGAGACAGAGAGAGAGAGAGACAGAGAGAGAGAGAGACAGAGAGAGAGAGACAGAGACAGAGACAGAGAGAGAGAGAGACAGAGAGACAGAGAGAGAGAGACAGAGACAGAGACAGAGACAGAGAGAGAGAGAGACAGAGAGAGAGAGAGACAGAGAGAGAGAGAGAGAGTGTCAGCACAGCAGGCCATCTGAAGTAGTTTTCAGTTTGATCCAGCAGAGGGCGCTCTCAGGGTAACTCCACCATTGCGTTCACTCTTTTTAAAGATATTCTTTTGGGGCGCTGGTGGCGCATAGGTTAGAGCGCAGGCCCCATGTATGGAGGCTGAAGTTCTCCAAGCGGGCGGCCCAGGTTCGAATCCCGCATGTGGCTCCCTTCCCGCATGTCATTCCCCTTTCTCTCTCTCTCTCTCTCTCCCTCCCTGATTTCTGAGTCTATCCACTGTCCTATCGCTCCAATAAAGACATAAAAAAAGCGCCTCAGGAGAAACTGGTCTCTCTGCAGACAGCAGCACACTGATTGGTGGAGAGAAACAGGGTCTCTACAAACCTGCAAATATTTGTGTGCACCATGAACCTCTGTGCACTCTGAACGGTCCTGAAAAAAACCTCTGTGCACTCTGAACGGTCTCATCAGTAGGCTTCTGATTGGACGGAGGACGTCTCACCTCTTTGCAGCGGGAGTTGAAGGCCTCCTCGAGCACCCTGCGGGTTTCAGGGACGAAGCATTTCTTCATGGTGGGGAAGTAGTGAGGATACTTGAGTGTGACCTTCAGCTTCTCTCCGTCCTGCTCCAGAGAGCTCAGAAAGTCCTCGGGCAGGCCGCCTGAAACCAACACGGGGTTAATGTGACACCTGACACACACAGAGGAGGGAGCAGGTGTGTGTGTGTGTGTGATGATGACTCACCCAGCTCGTCTCTGCTGAACGTCAGGCTGGTGGTGTCCTCGTTCAGGTTCTTGTTGAAGTCGATGCAGAGGTTGCTCAGTTTCTTCTTGATGCTCTTGATCTCCTGTCAGAGCAGAGAGGTTTGATCATGGTCAGTCACCACACACACAGATAGATTCTGACTCCTTTAAACCAGCCTTTCCCAAACTTAAGACTGCCGCGGCCCGCTTTGAAATACTAAATTACTCCGGGGCCCATTATAAAAATAAAATTCCTGACTACATCTATAACTTTCATTGAGGGTAAATTATTGGACATGACAACATGATATTATGAAAAGATAGACACAAAAGTTTACTAAACATTATGTCCATGAATAGTCATGACACACCTTACTAATCACTTAAAGGGTTGACTCATGGTAAATCATCATTATTGTGATAGTTAGTGTATTTTTTAAATTGTTGGAGGGCTGCAGTACCCACACAGCCCACACTTTGGGAAGCACTCCTCTAAACGGTCATAAAGACGGTATGATCGTGTGAATGTTTGTCTCTGAAATCAAACACTGACTCGGCTCGTCTTAAATCATGAGTGGTGGTCTGCAGGTGTGTGAGTGTCGCTCTGTGTGACTAAAGGTTCAAATATAAAGAAGCAGTATCCACCTCTTGCGTCTCTGTGGGCAGGTGGAGGCCGTTCCTCTTCCCCAGTTTGATCAGTCGCTCCATGTAACGCTTGGACTCTGGGGTGATGCTGTCGGCGTCGATTTTCTTCTGCAGACAGAAACAAAAAAACTTCATAAGAAACAAAAACCTTTAGAGGCGGAGTCAGTAGAAATGTAGAAAAAGGAGAGAGGAGGAAGAGGAGGAGAAGACAGAAGAGGAGGAGGAGGAAGAGGAGACAGAGGAGGAGGAGACAGAGGAGGAGGAGGGAGAGGAGGAGGAGACAGAGGAGGAGGAGGGAGAGGAGGAGGAGACAGAGGAGGACGAGGGAGAGGAGGAGAAAGAAGAGGAGGAGGAGGAGGAGACAGAGGAGGAGGAGGAAGAGGGAGAGGAGGAGGAGACAGAGGAGGAGGAGGAAGAGGGAGAGGAGGAGGAGGAAGAGGAGGGAGAGGAGGAGGAGACAGAAGAGGAAGAGGAGACAGAGGAGGAGGAAGAGGAAGAGGAGGAGGAGAGCGAGGAGGAGGAAGAGGAGGAGGAGAGCGAGGAGGAGGAAGAGGAGGAGGAGAGAGAGGAGGAGGAAGAGGAGGAGGAGAGAGAGGAGGAGGAAAGTCATTACTGAGTGATATATTTAATTAGGATACTTCAGTATCTGCTGTGACATTCAGTTTTTCTTTTGTTTGTTTTTCTTCTTTTAATAAAGTTAGTTTGTAAAAAATGAGCATGCTGGTGAAATGTAAGAGTCTGCTAACGTCTGATGTGAGAAAAGACGAACTGAGAGGAAAGACGAACAGAACAGGTAAACGTCCTCCCTCATGCTCATCTCCACGTCGAACTCCGACAGCTGCTTGTCGGCCTCGGTGCTCGCCGTTCTCACTTCCTTGGAGGGAGACACGTGCTGCGGGAAGTCCAGCATGTTCCTCTGGACTGAGAGACAGTGGGCGAAGTCAGACAGGGGGGCGGGGTCAGGGGGAAGAAAGGGCAGCGTCGGCGGCCAGGAGAGACACCACAAAAAACGTCACCATCAGTTTGGAAAGGCAGCTAATGTTTACTTTTGTTTGTGAGTCGACTGATGTTTAAAATATTAAACTACTTATTCTGATTCAGCCGACAAAACGATAAGACGTGAAGGATTCGCTCCTAAAGGTTTACCAGAACCAGAGAAGCCACGCCTTCTGTCAAACTAACTAACCACGGCGAGCAGCAAAGCCTCACGTGGAAGAAACTGGGACCTGTTTCCTAAAAGTCACCAAAATTAAAAAATTAAAATATTGTAGATGCAGTAATGGATTTTAGATTCATCTAACGTCTGATTTACTTTCTAAAAACTTAAAAATCACTATTTCTTTAAATGTGTTTTGATCCACAGCCACAAACAGAAAAAGATTCTATAAAAATGGCACAAGCACAGCTTCTTCATTTTCTTCATGTTTCCCGTCTAAAATCCAGCAGAGCTCAGATAAACGTTCTCTTTGAGCGCCTGACGCTTGTGAACACACATTGAGAGTTCAGAGTTTTGTAATAAACTTGTGAACGGTCAGAGAGCTGCAGTGGAAACGTTGGGAGTGTTTTCAGCTCCACACAAAGCCTCGGCGCTCTATTGTAGCAGCAGCAGCAGCGGTCGTGTTCAGCTGCTTTCTCTGCAAACTGCTGATCAGAGTGAACATCACAAACCCCTGTGCTGACTCTGAGCTACGCTGCAGACCGCACAAAGGACGCCACACCTGACCGCACGCTGTGTTTGAACTCTGTGCATTCAGGTTGATTATCCGACGTATGTAGAAATATCTGGACGGAGCATTAAAGTCATAAAACACAATGTTCTGATTTTTTCTTCCGGTCTTCAAACATCTCGTTCAGACTGCCGAGTGTTTGAGAGAAAGCGAGCAGCTGTTTGTGGACGATATGAAATATTTACTGTAAAA